CCACATATTGTAAATTCATTGTTAATTCTTTCTTTGCAACAAGTTTATTTTAAAAGTATAACATATGAGACAAATGTGATAATCATTAATTTATTTTGAAAGAACAATATAACCCTGAAGAAATCAGGATAAAGGCAAAAAAGCCAGTGGTTGAAGCTCATTGTCATGTCACAGAAAGGTTTGGTCCTTTCATGGCTCATAATAACACATGTAACAGCTGTTATTGCTCACTCATTTTCAAATTGGTAACTTCAGTACCTTTCAAGTTCAAAGAACTATACAATGAGCGTAGTCATTTTTCTCATATGTTGAGTACATGGTAATCTTACATGTTTTAATTTTACGTAGTTTATTAGATAGTAAACTTTAAGATGAATAAAGTAAGTGGCAAGGACTATACAAAAATGACAGGAATTGCATTAAATACATATAGACATATATTAATAACCACCAATTTGGAAAAAACATGCACAAAACAGGCAACACAGATATTTATTTCTCTTTTATATGTAACCATCATTTTCTAAATTGTCTTCAACATTAAGATGTATCACTTTCCTATTAGTTAATTCTACTTCAATATATTACCTAATCCTTAAGTGGTTACTGCTGAACTATTTTTTTAGCTGTTTGTTAGTTTGTAAATAGTTTAAAACTGCTTAAATTTTAAAATTTATTATTCAACAGATAAGTGCAGAGGACACCATGGCTAGATGGAACTCGACCAGTGTGCCTGGCTTCATCCTCATGGGGCTGATGGACTCTGCAGAGACAGAGCTGGTTCTCTCTGTGCTCTTTCTCTTGATTTACCTGATCACAGTGCTGGGATGATACTGATCGTTTGCCTGGATCCCCAGCTTCACACCCCCATGTACTTTTTTCTCACTCACTTGTCATTTCTCAAATTCATCTGCTCAAATCTCTTCACCCCTAAAACCTTACATAACTTAATGAGTTCCACCAAGAGCATCTCCATCCTAGGCTGCTTCACCCAGATGTACTTTTTTATAGTCTTTGGTGCTGTTGAATGTTTGTTGCTCTGCTTGATGGCCTATGATCACTATGTAGCCAACTGCAGCCCCATGCACTATCCAGTCATTATGTCCACAGGACCGGGCCATGCCCTGCTTACTGGTTCCTATGTTACTGGCTTTGTGGATTCCATTGTGGTTGTAGTTTCCATGAGCAGACTGCACTTCTGCAACTCCAAAGTCATCCAGCTCTTTTTCTGTGACATTCCCAATTTAGTCCTGTCCTGCAGTGACACTTCTGAGGTTGAAATCATTATATTCATTTGCACTGGATCCAATTTAGTGCTGTCCCTCATCACCATATCTGGATACTATGTGTCCATTCTCTCCACTATCCTGAAAATTAATTTGAATGCTGGAAAGACAAAAGCCTTCTCCACCTGTGGCTCCATCTCCTGGGCATCACCATCTTCTACAGCACTATGATCTTTACTTATTAAAACCAAAGGGGCTGGGGATTTACCTCAGTGCTTCTGCCACCTGCCCCTTAAGCACAAGGACCCAAGTTCGATCCCAGGTTCAAAAAAAAAAATTAAAGACATCCTACTCCTTGGGAAGGGATCAGGTGGCTTCTGTGTTTTACACATTTGTGATTCCCCATGGTGAAGCCTCTCATTTACAGTTTCAGAAATAAAGATGTTAAACATGCTGCTGTTAGAGTCTTGCATAAGTGAAAGGGTTCTAGACAATTAAAATAACAGTGATGGTAGGCATATTCACTTTTCTGCTTGTCTTTTTTTTCTTCTAAGAAATTCTTTGATCTCATTCTAAAAAACTTAGAACTTTTTTCCTCCTTTCCATTGGCCTTTACTTAACAAAGATGACCTTGAACACTGGGAGACACAGGTACTTAGAATTCCATATTATAATTTGGAATCATCAATTAAGTATTATATCTCAGATGTAAAACAAAATCTGTGCTATTAAGGAAAACTTTTATGCACAAAGAAAAAATTTGTAATTTTGTATAGTTTACTATCTAATAAACTGTAAAATTAATACATGTAAGATTACTATGTACTCAGCTTATGAGAAAAATGACTACTTTCATTGTATTGTGCTTTCAACCTGAAATGTACTGAATTTATCAATTTGAAAATCAGTGAGCAGTAACAACTCTTATGTGTGTTCTTGTGAGTCACATCAAGACCAAACCTTTCTGTGACATGACAAAGAGCTTTAGACACTGGCTTTTTTGCCTTTCTCCTGATGTCTACAGATTTATAGACTTCTTTCAAAGTAAATTAATAACTATCACATTTGCCTCGTATTTTGTACTTTTAAACTAAACCAATTGCAAAAGAAAGAATTGACAATGGATTAACAATATCTGGCAGTCCTAAACTCAGATCAAGTAGAGAGATAAAAATCTCCTTATTTTAAAAAATATTTTATCTCTGCATTTGCAATGTCAGTTTAACATTTTTCTTTGGCATCTTACATTTACTTGATAATGTACAGTTCCATTTCTGAGGTAAGATATTTTATTGAAGCTTCTATAAAAATTATTACATGGATTGCTTCACTCCAAACATGTGATTATAAAAGTATCTTCTTTTTGAAATGGAAGTTATTTTGTGTAAAAAATATTTTCATTATTTTAGGTATCCCAAGAAAAACACTTCTGTTAAGAATTTTTATCAATGTTTGAATAATTGAAAAGTGTAAATTATTTTCAAATCAATAACAAAATTATTTCTATTATTACATCAATATTACTTAAAATCATATTTTATATACCTTCAATATCTGTCTTTTCTAAAAGTAAATATAGATATTCCTGGTTTCTTTGTGATTAGTGTTAAGAATTTAATAAATATTTATTGTTTGATATATTGTAAGGGCTCTTCTCTCATCACCTAAATAACTTAATAATGTCATAGACTTATGCACTATTTCCACACTCCAAGTATTTTTATAAGGCATAGTTTTATCTTATACTCATTTATTTGTATTTTCATGATTTAGAAAATAAATTGTCAATTTTTCCTGGCAAACCCATTAGTACAATATATGATTTTGTAGACAATATTTAAGTTTAAAAGTACTTTAATTTTGAATAAATTAAATTTGATTTAGTTTCTTTATTGCGTGAAGTGGAAAACATACATATTATGTTATTATACAAACTTATTATAATCTATTGATTACAGGACCTGCACACAGATTATGCAACTACTCTCTTTTACTGTCACCCTCATTCTCAACACAGAGGATATTGAAGTTTCGGGAGTAGCTCCAAAAGAGGAATAACCTGTGTGTGTGTGTGTGTGTGTGTGTGTGTGTGTGTGTGTAATTACATTATAATTAAAAATATTGCTTTTGTAGCTATAGGGTGTTATTTTGTTTGGTCATTTTCTCTCATAACAGGGTTGTTTTATCTGGTTTCCTAACTGTTGTGTCTGGGGATGCGCACCGCAGCTTTGTGGTCTGAGTCGTTCATTGGAATCTTAAACTAAGCCAAAAAGGGGTAAGGGAATAGAGGTTAAAAGGAAAAACAAGTTATTTTAATTCCAAGGAAATAGGAAAGAAAGGAGAGCACAGAAAGCTACCCTTTGAGATGTAGGTAGGGTTCTTCAGAAAGGATAGTAACTGTGAAGCTTTGTTTTCAGCTTTCTTTAATCAAAATGTTTTTCTCTCCCAGGTCCATACCTGGAACTTGTCACAACCTAATTGGTTCTCTGGACTGGCATAGGTGGATCCAATGCCCTGAGTGCTATCCTGAGATTCCACTGTCCACATGCACATTCCTAGGTGGGCCAGTTTGTCCTTATCAGGGCCTTATCTCTGGAATTTATAGGTTGGTGAGGAGCAACTTTACATACAAGGTCTAGTTAGTGATTAAGTATATAGGGCAGTAATATATTGACCCTGGACTGAGAAAAATATATATAGATAAACTATATGTATATACTATATGTGTATATATATATGTATACTATATATACATATATATATATACAATATATGTACATATATACTGTATATGTATGCTGTATATATACTCTATAAGATTTATATATGTATACTATGTATGTATACTATATGTATAGTATAAACAAGCATATGTATACTGTATATGTATACTATAAGTATAGTATATACACATATATGTATACTTATGAGTATGCTACATAAGAGTTATGTAGTCCCCTTTCCCTTTCAACTCCATCATATTTTGTCTTCTTAATTGTGCCTTCCCATAAAGCTTTCACTCTTTCTAGTATGTATTAGCCAGAAAACCTAATGATTCCCTTCTCTGCCTATAGGCCCCTACACAACATTTGTCAGATACACCATCTGCTAGTTTATAAATTGACAACCTCCTTATATTTTTTGTCATTTTCCATTTATACTCCGTTCTCTTCTCTTTTTTCTTCATTCTACACTCATACTCTCTCAAATATCCCCTCCCTCCTTTGTTCTATTTTTTTTAATTAAATTCTTTTATTGGTACATTGTAGGTATACAACACAATTACATTTCTCATTGGGAACTGTACCTTTATATAATGCATCTTGGTTCTTATTTTTTCCCCATTCCTAGCCCACCCTTCACGCCCTCCACCCTTCCCTATTTACAAAGACTTTATTTCCATTTTGTCCATTTCTTATCATTTTTC